AAGAGGACCAGGGGACCCAAACTTTAGTGGGCAGAACCTGGTTATTTCGGTTGTATCTAAACATTTATGATAAATCCAACAGAGCTTAATATAATTAAAAACTGCAGCTGTGAGCCTTAAAATTATACTTTGTTACGGATGCGTGTCAAAAATGCAAATTCTTCTTTTAGCTTAGTCAACTAAAAAGACTACCTTTTGAATCTGACCTCAGCTGTGGTCAACATTACAAACTCCTGCTGGCTGTCAGCTCTCACCTACAAGCATGTCATTTACTTTGTTCACCACTGACTAACAAATGACTGAGGTCTGCTGTGCTCACAGGCAGCCTGTCATTGACTCAGCCTCACTTGTAATTTGGTGTATAGATAACATGTCACCGTGCTGTACTAATCTGTGACATATTTCTTCTGCCAGCTTTCAGAAAAGCCTGAAATTAGTCTGTGTTTCACCTGCTGCAGTGACTTTTCCTTTCCTCTGAGCGGGTAAGAGCCTCACCTGTGCCCAGGGGCCTGATGGATGGGCGGACGTGGTGATAACTCAGAGCACCAGGCGCTGGTTAACAACGCCCAGTGCTCTGAATTTACGGGACTCTCCTTTCCTGAAGCAGGCACCTTGTCAGAGAGATGAGGATTCATAGCAGGGTAACATCCTGCGGCATGTTCACCGCCCTGTCATCTCACCTGCTTTATGAGCTCTTTCATGTCACTCTTTGTTTGAACAGTGGGTAACCGCATGCTCTCAGTCAGCCATTGATACAACTTTCACTAGTTAGCGTGTTTTGTTTTTTTTAAATGCCATTCACAACCATAAGACAGGACCATGCAACACGAGTACACGCATGAAAAGTCTCTTTCACCATGATTAACCTTTGTCCCCTGATACAGATATGTTTGCATCTGACTGAGGGAATTTAGACGTTAAATTGTGTTTGTGAAAGACAAGTTCTGTCAGCTCATCTAAATGTTGAGAAAGTGGCATTTCCTCTCAAGACATGAAGTCCTGGTACAGTACGGTACAGTGCAGTACAGTATGTACTAGAACATGTTCCGGACCTATCCACCTACACAGAAATTGGCAAGTGATTCAATGTTATAGTCTGTATTTGTGTAGAAGCATCAAAGTTGGGCTGGGCAATATATTGATATTATATTGATATCGATGTATACATTTTGGATACTGTAATATCATATGTGTTTTCTTTTTCTGGTTTTACAGACTGCTTTACAGGAAAGTGATGCAATTTTCGGAACTCACCAGACTATCTGTTCTATTACTTGATTTCACCCACTTGGTCATTATATCCACATTACTGAGGATTATTTATCAAAAATATGACTGAGTAGGTGTTCAGTTGTTTTGCAGTGATAATGTATTCTGTCTGACAGCTGGGCCCCTGCTCCTCACTCCTGGTAACCTTGTGGACTTTCTATTGGCTCCCTGCTTTGAGCATCCCTCTCACCTGCAGGATGTCCTGGATCTGGCTGAGCTGCTGCCTCAGCACCTGCTTCTGGTGGAAGCTGAAGGCCGGGTGGTGAGAGGCCATGGTAAATAACAAAAGAAACTGCTCCTCGGTCCTCCCGTCGTTCAGCGCCAGCCCGTAGTTATTGATCACCGTGTCTATGTGAGTCAGGGTCCGGTACAGGACCCCCGCCGCCTCCCTGTTGTCCGAGCCGAGCAGGGCGAGGGACACCAGCAGCTTGCTGCGCACCACCTCGTCCGTGATGTTCGTGAGGCCCGACAGGTCGGCGGGGTTGTTGGCTTTGATCTCAGCATCCCGGAGGGAGTGGTAGTCCTTGCGGGCCAAGTCCTCCAGGCAGGAGCCGAGGAAGCGGAGCTCGATGGGGACACAGAGGTCCAGAAGGCCGCACAGGAACTCGGCTCTCTGGGCTGAGGTGAGGGAGGAGAACCAGCGGTACACCCCCTCCCTCTGGACACAGCCCCGGCTCTCCACCATCCTCACACATCCACTCACACTGGACTTGAGCTGAATGTTGAGACAATAACTGGGATTAAAATGCCAAACTTTCAACAGAGAGTAAACTTCACAACAAAGGCAGCGCGTCTGTAGGTGTGCGTGCGTAATTGCGCAGGCGCGCGTGGGCAGTGCTAATGTCGAGTGGTCAGAAAGTCAAAATTTGTCAACTTCCACTAAAGTTAGTGACAGACGCTGTGTTACTCCCCACTCTCAGTGCCTGTTTCCACACAGTGCGGCCACAGCAGTGGAATAAAAGAAGTAACAGTTATTTCCTTTGTTGGTGGAGCAGCGGCGGCGGAGCAGCAGGCCTTTCCCAACCACAACCTCACCAAGTCGCCTCACATGTAGCCAAGGTGGTCTGGGTTGTGTTCAGCACGGCAGCCGGGGGTCCCTCCGCCGTGTCCCTCCCCGCCGGTCGGACCGCTGCCCCCCTCTGACGGCACAGAAACACTTCTTGCAGGATGGCAGCGAGGATCAAAACACACCACCCCATTCAAGGAGACACTCAATCATGACTTTTTGATCGGAGAAGACCCGCTCCCCTGTCCCGCAGCGGCACAACAATCCCTTCCTGTAGAGTTGCTCCTCCGTCCTCATGCTTTTCCAGAAACTTGCGCGAGGAAGCCCAGCGACAAAGTCCCAACCGCTAGCAAGACTGTGCTAGGGTTAAAGTTTAAAAACAAACTAGTGGCCTCAAGCTGCTGCTGCCACTGGAAATAACATTACAACACATCCGAGACATTATCTGATAAAACTCCGCTGTGGAGAAAACAACTCACAAACTCTACCGGAGTTTTCACTCGGAGTCCATGAATGAATTTAGTGCAACATGTTGTTCTCCGCTCCCTGCATTCTGCCATGAGTCTTGAAATCAAGAAAAAAAACAGCTGTGTATAACATTAACCCCACTCTGGCAGCAAGACCCGCCCACTGCACGGAAAGACCTCCACTGATTGGCTGCGAGTCCCGTCCGCATGCGAGGCCTCTCTCGTGATTGGCTCAGAGGGATATCCGCTGCCCTGCTATTTCACATCTTTTTCTCATGCGCTCATACATATCTCAGCTTTATTACTGGAGCTTTAAAGTGCCAGATACACGTCGTTAAAGCGATGCTACATAATCTATTTAGTATGGTAGTCTCACTACTTAGAAAGTTATGGTCTATGTACCCTACGACTAATTTAGTTATTACTTTAAGTAGCTATTATTATTACTGTTTGAGTTTAGAGGGAAACTGGAAAGTTATTAGGAAGTTCCATAACCTTCATTACTATTATAAATACAAATATATAAAGATTAAAAAAAATTAAAGACAAGTATTATTACCAGATTTTAGAGTGCCATAAAGAAGAAAAGGCAACCATAAAGCCACAGTGATGAGTGTCAAACGGTAATATAAGGCTATAGAAATATAGTTTTGGAAAGGGATGGCAGCATAGGTGGATTCTGAGACAATATACCCTGGGCACAGACATGCAGAAGGTCCCACCACCTGTCCTCCATAGGAGCAAAACACACAGACGTTGTAGTTTATGCATCTCTCTGTGATTGTTTCATATCTCTTTGTAGTCATTTTGAGTCTCTTTGTAGATGCTTTGCGTCCCTTTGTCGTCTTTTTGTGTCTCTTAGCAGTCATTTTGATGGTCTTTGTAGTTCCTTTGTATCTTTTTGTGGTAATTTTGTGTCTCTTTGTGGTTGTTTAGCCCCTTTTTGTATTTGTAGTATCTGAATGTCTCTTTGCAGTTGTTTTGCATCTCTTTGTCATCTTTTTGTGTATTTCTTCAGTCATTTTGTGTTTCTTTGTGGTCTTTTTGCATCTCTTTGCAATCATTTTGATTCCCTTTGTAGCTGCTTTGGGTCTCTCTGTGGTCATTTTGTGTCTCTTTGTAGTTGTTTAGTCATTGTGAGCATGTGTGTGTCTCTTTGCAGCTGTTTTGCATCTCTTTGTGGTCTTTTTGTCTCTTAGCAGTCATATTGTGTCTCTTTGAAGTTGCTTTGGGACTCTTTGTGGTCATTTGTGTCTCTCTGTGGTTGATTTGCTCCCTTTCATAGTTGTTGTGAGTATCTTAATGTCTTTTTGTTGCCCCCTTTGCATCACTTTATGGTCTTTTTGTGTCTCCTGGTAGTCATTTTGAATCTGTAGTAGTAGTCATTGTGAGTATCGCTGTGTCTCTTTGCAGCTGTTTTATGTTTCTTTAAGGTCTATCAAGCTTGTTTCCTGGTCTTTATGTTGTCATGCCAGAGGGGCCCTGACACTCCGGCCCCCTGGGCCTGTTCCCTGTGGCCCATTCAGTAATCCATCCATAGCTGGAAGACGTGGTGATGTGATTTCTAGTCAGCCCAGCTGATGATTTACTAAAACTACTGTATCAAAATACTTTAGGTGCAACATGGCGGCAGCAATGATCCATATTACATCTACAGTAAAATAGTATCTTCATTGTTAACTCACGGATGAGAACCAAGGCCCTCTTATGCCGTTATTATGTAGTTCATACCCAGGACCAGAAGATGGCGGCAGATGTCCATGTTGATACCTGATGCAGCAGCATCCTCTCTGTTGGATGTGGCATTGCATCCATCATGACACCTGGCTGTGCCTGGTCACGCATGATGAAAACGTCACACGCCAAAAAATTATTTTAAAATGTTGATTAAACACAGATGTACTTGATTAAACATTTATAGCCTCATTTTCCCCTCACTGTGCCCTCCTGTGTAGTTCTTCATGTTTCTCCTCTCTCAGTCAATACAGCCGCCCCCCCCATCCTCACTCTCATTGAGAACATTGGTCTCAAGAGATAAACCCCGCCCCCAACGACAAGCCCCGCCCACCCGCTGACGGAAGAAAATTTAGTTAAGGTTGCTATAGTTACCACACCCCTCCCTCTTAACCAGGCCTGTGCCACTCCCTCTCTGCATCAGGGATGCTGTCTAACACACAGTCACAGACAGAAAAAGTATGAAAACACAACACCGCATCACAAAGACAGAGAAAGATTAAAAACACAGGAGCCGGGAGTCATTTTCTTTCAAACACTTTCATTATTTTCTCCACATAACTCAAAAACAAAACAGAGTAATTCCCAGAAACAGAAAGAAAGAAAGAAAGAAAGAAAGAAAGAAAGAAAGAAAGAAAGAAGAGTCAAACTATAGAGAGAGAGCTTGGCATGCTGTAGCATGCTGCGGACTAACAGGGTGACGCAGGGCATCGTCACCAGGCTGATGGCATACAGCAGAGCTTTTTGAACCTTTTTCAGTCTGGGACTGAAATGAAACGAAAATTACATCGTTCTGCCTCTCGGGGTGCAGGCACATTAGACTGTACTCTTGTAATAATGTGGGGGAAACACCAGAAATGAGCCTACAGCCGAGTTTGAGTTCCAGTCCGTAGTTTGAGAAACGCTGTCGGACAGAAAAACAACAGCGAACCTCCCTGCCTCCTGGAAGTTGTTACCGATGGCAATAGGCTCTGCCATCCCATCCAATCACGTGGAAGGAGCAGGATGCACACACATGTTCACACAGTCCGATGAGCATTCATGTGCACATATGCAAACAAACACAGAGGCTGGTCTGCCAGATGGGTTTGAGACACACATACCCAGTTACTATAAAACATAATTAAATTATGACTGGTGTTTGTGTCTGTTTGTTTGTCATAGAGGGTTTAGGATGATTGGAGAAGAAGCTGAGGAAAGGAGGCTGTAAATCCTGACCTTGATCCTGCCCACTGCTTGCTACTACACTACAACAGATTTGCATCATTTCCAGTTTGTTCCTATCAGGCTGCTCTGAGTATCACTTAGCCTAACATCGAGGTTTCACTTTGTTTCATTTAACCCAGAAAAGATCAATAACAGAAATTTTGACTCTGCTGTTTTATCCCAGCTTCATGATCAGTATCAAATAGGCTTCTCTCCAGACACTGCTCCTATCAAAACTTAACATGTCGCATGTGCTTCTGAAGCTTTTTATGCTTTCAGATCCAATGCACAACTAAGATATTACAGTACATATGCATGCATTGTTGTACTTTTATCGATTGCGCTACAAAAGCAAGGCAGGTGGCGACTAGTATTTTTTTCAGACATCTTGCAAGTATAGTATAAAAGATGTTGTTGTTGTCATCAGGTTATGTTTTGAGAGAAGCAGTGGGAGACACTGATTTATCAATATGATATTGTCTTTAAAACTGTAGTTCTGGTGTTACACATACAGGCTCTGCTTCACTGAATGCAGTATTTCCTCTAAATACCTCAGCTAGTGGTACAGTAGGTGCAGGGCTTTGCCAAGGACAGTCTGTCTTGAACTACCACCAACTCAGAGGAAGCTCCATCCTCTGACTGGTGTGTGTGGAGGTGGGAGAGAGTAGGAGGGAGAGATGGAGAGAGCACAGCTGTCAGCTGATGCTAGTAGGCTAGATGTGGATGAGCGGTGACTGCGTTCTCATGAGATGCTCTGGTAAAGTTCATGAACAGCGTGAAAGGCCACTGAGCTACTTGGAGAGCACACGCACATAAATACATACACACACATGAAGACATGCCGTCTTGATGCAGTCGCAAACACGCTCACATTCTGCACAAAAAACATGTACACTGCAAACATACTGTAAATACAGTATGCAGAGACGCACACACGCATGCACACACACAAAATTCTCACTCTCAGCATGAGATGAAGAATGAGAGGAGACAGACATCAGAGCAAGGACGAATGAATGAGAGGAATGGGGTAAAAGCAATGAGTGTGTGAGTGTGTGTGCTTGGACAGGGAGCCATCAACCATGTATACAGCCAGCTCACACACACACACACACACACACACACACACATTAACACACACCCTGTACCATCAGTAACAACACCAGGACAGGAGGAGGAACCAAAAGGCAGGAGTTATATAAAGAGGGGTGGAGGGTTACAAAATAAAGAATATATCCATCAACATATTGTACATGAGAGAAAATGTTAATAAATAAATTATAAGTTACAAATCTGTTGAAAACTATGATTTGAAGATGAAAAAGTCTGTCTTGTCAGTCCTGTCTGCAGACAGTGGAAGCAGACATCTCGCTGTAATGCCAGCTGCAGCTCTCGTGGCCTGGGGATCAGACCGGTACAGCCCATTTGAGTCTGTATGTGAACTGTTGAAGCTCACTTAAGTCCAGTTTCTGGACTATATAATCTCCCTGTGGTCCAGTTACCTGGACTGGTTCACCCCCTCTTTCATCCACTTCTTTGGGCTACACACTTCGGCATCTCTCTCCAGACGACTGGGGAGAGCGTAGCCGAGGTTAGCCCGGGTTAGCCACCTTTAGCCCAAATATTGGTGGAGCCCTCCTTGGTCCTCGTCTTCCCTCGGCCGGTTGCGGTCCTCCCACCAGGAACACGAAGGGGTGGCAGATTGGTCGTAATACTCATATGAATTTATAGTTGTTGTAGCATAGATAGGCTGACTCTGAAAGCGGTGCTGTCTTTAAATAAAAAAGTGGATAAACAAAATAGCCACTCCAATGTTGAGCAGAATCACCATGACAACCAGGATAGAGCTGTAGGCCTGCGTGGGAGAGAGAGAGAGAGAGAAAGAGAGAAAAGGCGAGAGTGTCAATAATCAGGACACACACTCAGAGCTCACACACAAGGCTGTTTTCATACAGACAGTATATCTAACCTGCTAAGACATACAAATGTGCGCAGTCATTTATATTCATCCATTTACCTTTTAACCAAAGCAATGCAGAAAGGCCTAGACATTTCTTATTACCACAGTTGGTCATTATTATGTCAATAAAGTAAAGGGGAACACACACCTAATAACCAACCAGTGGTTTTATATATATATATATAGGTAGTGAGGTGCTGTGAGTAAACACTAAAGGGGACCTATTATGCTTATTTTCAGGTTGATACTTGTATTTGATGTTTCTGCTACATGTTTTAATAGTTAAAAACACTTTATTAACCTCATTCTGTCTTTGCTGGAAAACCTGTGTTCACATCTGTCTGTCTCTTTAAACCCCCCTTTCAAAAAAGCCCAGTCTGCTCTGATTGGTCAGTATTTCCAGGTCTTCTGTATCTCTCTGCACCATCATTGCAGCCGGGTAATGACTATAACGGAGAATAGCGGTATGTTCTACCCTACAAAATCCCCAATAAAAGGTTTTAAACACAAGCGGACATGTTCCAGGAGAAATTTGATCCAAACTGGGGAGAATTAACAACATCTGCAACCAAATTTACATGTTTCCCTGATGTTAGCATGTAGCTACATTCAGCAGTGTAGGCTATGTAATCTAAACACTTGCAGCATGCCTGGAGCAGATGACTATATTAAGAGATCCATCACACTATGACATCATACTGTAGCCACAGTAAAAAAAAACAACCTGTTGGACACTTAGGGCTCTAGTTTCCCGGCGTGGCGCAGGGTGGCGCAGTGTGGCGAACCCCGCTCAGAGCTAGTTTCGAGCAGCGCAACCCGAGGAGCGCTCAGTTTGGTAGTTTGGCAGTCCGAGGTGTGCCGAGATGGGTGTGGCGGCGCAGCGGGGGAGGGGTGTTGACAGATCCAGCTTGGCGCTGTGACAGTTTCGTGCCAAAAGGCTTCGCCAAAGGTGCGCTAAAAGCTCGCCAGCTGACACCAGGTCTACTGTCAGCGCAGGCAGAGCGTAGCCGGTGTAAGCCGAAGTTTCGCTGACCGGCGGACAGTGCGCACACGTCACCAAAACCTCACAGGCAGGTTTCCAGAATATCAGGCACATCAACAATAAAATAAATACCCACAAAAACCACTACTCAATGCAACTATCTGCAATCAGCACAAAAATGTATCTCTATATAGACTGTCTCGTCACATCTGATGTCAGATCAAAGGGGATTGGCACCATTTGGCACGTTTGGCACGCGTAATGGAAACCCAACCTGATTTGATTAACACAGCTGCAAACTGAGTTCACATCCCTCTCAGCCAACCACAAACAGCCACAGCATCAGATATGGAGTATATATTCAGCATCTGTCATCTTAGAAAAGTTAAAAGAAAAGAAACAGAGTGAGACTGTGAGAGAGAAAGAGAGTGCGCACGCGTGCATGAGAGAAATGCAACATTGATTTACAATTGTGGTGACCTCCTCCCAGGCCACCTTTGCATCATCAGCCTGCGGAGGTCTGCTCGCAGTTCCGTATATTCAGACACTGCTAGCAGACCTCCCGGACCAAAACATAAGTTTCCTCCTGGGAGAAGTTTGGCCGTCTGACTCTGCTGCTCTCTTTTGCCATGGCGAATTGAGTAAACTCTCATTACACCTTCGCGCGGCGCATTTAAGGGCGAGGAGAGGGGCTCATTTGATTGGTGTGTGTGTAAAATCCACTCCACGCCTTCTCTCCTCCCTCTTTCCGACTTGCGCAGGTAGGCGGGACGGAGGTGGGACAGACAAGTAGCTGCGCCAGCGCGCATGGTGTGCCAAACTTGCAAAATCCGCCTGGCCACACCCAGTTGGCGAAGCGCAGGTGCGCTGCGCCTCCACCTCGCCCGGTCTGCGAAACTAGAGCCCATAAAGTTCAGAACAGTAGAAAGACTCTCAGGGATTACTTCTACATATGTTTATGCCCTTATGTGAAACTTTGGCCATGCTAATATGAACATGCTTCACCATAACACTACATATAAGGTCCCCTTTAACAGTTTAAAGGACCAAACTCCAGTTTTTCACATAAAGATTGATGATTCCCCCCTACTTTATCAACGTATTCCTACAAAGTCATTGGTAATAAGAGGATTTTTGTGTGTGTTGAAATAATGTCATACTTTTAACATCACGTTATCGGTCCTTGCATAACTGCATGCACATCAATCATCCCACTGCTGTCGGGTGAATTCTAGTAACTGTCACCTCCTCTGATGGGGGCTCTTTTAGTGATTTAGAAAATCCTACAGCTCTGGGGTTTATAAAATCTTAAAAAAAAAGAATCTAAAACTTAAACACTTGGGTGTCAAGTTAAATACAATTCTCTCACACTGTGAAGATGTAAGCTTTTCACCTGACAGCAGCAACATTTCCCTATGTTGCATAAATGTTGATATTGGCTTTAGTGTTGCTGTGTGATGCTGAAAACTAATAGAATAGAAATTTTCTTATGAGTTAATGTCAGCCACAGTGTGGCTGATGTTCTCATCAGATATGTTGAGAAAACCATCCTCTTTTTCAATTACTGGATATACCCACAGATCAGCCTGATTATTCTCTGTCTAGCCTAAAATGCCTTTAGAAATAACAAGTAGGTTAGTAAGTAAGTAAAACTTTATTTATGAAGCACATTTCAAAACCAGGGTTGTGAAGTCCTTCACAGTTATAAAAATAACAATAAAAAGCATTTCCTCCTAATTCAAAATAATTGAAGAATAAGAACAAATCAGGGTAAGCAACCTGATATATATGTGATCAGTTCCCATCGTTAATAGGATGAAACCCAATTGTGTGATGCCACATCTTTTGAATTCAATCCTAAATTTTACAGAACATCAGTGTAGTAAAGCCAGCACCAGGTCCATGTGGGAAGGCTGTGATGTCATTGTTGGTAGTGCTACAGCTCCTTGGCTTAAACAAGAATACAATGGATTGCTATAGTCCAGACGTTATGATACAAAACAATGTTTTTCGAGCTGTTTGACAGATAAATGGGAATATCTTGGCAATCTGTGACTGAATAACCAACTGAAGGTGTCTGAGTTAGAAGCCAAGGAACCTCTGTGACAACCTTAGTTTTGTGATTTAACTGCAGGAAACTATGAGGCTCTCATTTCATGAAAATTAGCTAAAATAGTCAAATTAAACAATTGCCCTAGTTTTACAAATACATTAAGATGGACATCATTGGCATAGCAATAACAAAGACAAATATTGATGGATATTGTGCCCTAAAAAGAGCATATAGAGGGAGAATAGGAGAAGTCCCAGGACTGGGCCTTGAGGAACTCCACAGATCAGTGGGACACAATTACCAATGGATACAAAGCAATTAGATAAATACAAAGCAAACTATGTCAACCTACTTTCTTAGACAATCTGATATAACTAAACAGATTTAGTTTTCACTTTACCACTGTTTCTAGATATCTGGTTTATATTGTTTTGTTGGTTTGTGGAAACATGACATAATACCAAGCTTAAAAATATGTCAAGAAAATTAAACAAATTTTAATGTTATTAAATATTTGTAGCATCTTTGCAGGACATGGAGATAAGACCCAGCAGCAATGATGATGCATATACGCAGTGAAATGATGAAGGAGCAATTTGCATCTTAAGATAAATAATACGTGTTGATCCCACAGGGAGGCCCACCTTCTCTGACAGAGGGAGGTCAAAGGGCGAACTCGGCTGCAGAACAGCAGCCTGGAGCTGGCGGGGAGTCACTGTCTTGCTCAGTGACACTTAAACAGATGCTTGCTGACAACCTGGGTCGTGTGGGTGAAGGCCAGTCTTTCTGACCACCTGTCCACTCTGGGTAAATATGTTAAAGTGAGTCTAGTATATTCACTGACATTCTCACCGATGCAGCAGTTTTTCTTCATAGCCCACAAAGAATCCCTCATACATAATGAAAATAAAACATCTTTTAAAAGTATTTACATTAAGAGTATTTTGGTCTTATCGGAGGATTTACCCGAAGAGGAGGCACAGAACACCTATGTTTTTAATTAAGTCTACCTCTGAAATAATATTAACAATAGTTGCAATGGGAGAGGGAAAATGGGACTCTGAGTAACCATGCACGCTGATACCAAGCAACATTAGTGCAACATTGTTTTAAATGAATTTGTCCAGAGTGGCTGCTAACAAGGTTTCTGCTGATCAATCCGGTGACAGGCTTATCACAGATCTGTGTCATAGATAATTACCAGAGCAGGTGGATGAAATCCTCTGATCATTAGCCTTTTTTCTTTACCTCTACTCAGTGAGAAAATGTGTTCATTTTTGTTTATTTAAAAATAGTCCATGCACTATAGTCCAATTCCTGACTTTGAATAATTTGATTATTTTTCAGTCTAATTATTTCATTTGTGCTGATGGAGGATAACCATTCACAATTAGGATTTTCAGTGAGTAAATCCAATGGAAACTGGCCTCCAGTAAACTAAAAGTCTTAATGAATAGAAGTCATTGGGGTCCACATTTAACAACAAAACTATATCAAAACATCAATTTACAAACTCTCACACAACTCATGCAGTATAATCCAAGTCTCATTTTTCTAGCCATATGCTCAGTACTTCCCAAACACATGCATTTTCACTTAAACCTTACCATGAAAAACTGAACTGAAAGTAAAAACTATCTACACTCTCTTACCTTCCAAGAAGATTCCATTAACAAATACATTCATTTTATCATGTTAAACACAGGAGCTGCTGGTCTATTGCTGCCTCAATCAGTACTTTCTTTGCATTATTTTGTGACTTTGGTGAATCCAAACTAATCCTTTAAAACACCAAAGTCACATAGTAACACAAACAAACTAACTGATGGAGGCAGTGGTAGATTAGCAGCTTCCATGATC